GCCTGTCAACTTCGTCATGGCAGTTACGCAACGACCAAAGAAGAATACTGTAGGCCAGGACAATGTACAGTGCATGTACCCGAAGACCGAGTGTTTGATTCGTGCGTTGGTGTTCATAGCGAAGACAGCAAAAAACGCGGTTTATTTATACACAACGTAAACAACGTGATCAACTGGATGATTACCCGTATCGATGTTTCGGGCACTGCCGCATAGGCTTTCATTAAGGTTGAGAGATGAACAGGCTTCGGTAATTAAGCCCTTTTTTTCCCAACATAAAACAGCGGCTAACAACAGAAATAACTTCAGAAGCTAACTCACCTCTATCTTGAAGAATATAGTGGTCAATCATCCACTGACCAAATTGTTTACGATGTGTATAGCAGCTTGCTTCTGCTGCTCGCAACGGAATGTACTAGCGAAACTGTAGCAAGGGACTGATAGAACTATTTTTGACTTGTGAGGCAAGTCGTAGAAGATATACGAACAAATGCACTGCGAGTTACTGGGCGGTTTCCCATGCTCCTGCACATAAGATCGATAAGTGAACTTCAGTACCTCTGCTCTGGCTGAAGTAAACATCTGCGTTTACTTTACATCGAGAATTTTTTCCCTCTTAGGCGAATAGAAGGGTCGAATGGGAGACACATTAAGGAGACAAAGTAAAACAGTTGATTAAGAATTATGAATGATTGGGGACGTTATCCATATTCATGCACACGAAACCGCAATGTGATTCGTTAATGAACACTGAACCGCCCATTAGTGCGAAGAAGAGGATGGCAAGAAGCTCTGAGAGGCGAAACTTCGTCTGAAGGTTCTGAAAGTTTACTGCCTAGGCAAGTCGTAAACCGTGAAGGATGTCGTTGTAACAAATGGCGCCAAAATTATACTGATTTATTTCTTGCCTTTGCTTTAGCAGAGTATATCAAACTGCATTTTGAAACAGAGAGAATAAAACAATATTACTAGATGGTTAATCTCTCTAAATTTATACCTATTCACTGCAAATGGATTGAAATCAGACGTTTTCCAGAATGAAGGCATTTAATTCATTGATTACGGACACAAAGAGGTAGGCAATAATGAAGGACAGTATGACCACCCACCAAAACGTTATTTTAGAAAAAACTTGTCACAATGCACCTTGTCTGCGTCCCATTGAATCGAAACACCTACTTTTTATCCGATCTATGACTAATAGTTACTACGACTTACAAACGGACTTATACTAGTACTGTGGTAAATGTCGGAATTTTTACAGTGCTTCTGTGACGAGAACAAATTACACCGGTAATTATCAGTTTTACATCCTAATTATAAGTTACTCAGTACAGTTATTTTAAGTCTTTTCTAAACCTTGCATAAAAACTAGACAAAATCTGTATAAGACTAACATGTCGATTAATGAAAAAGATCGATGTAATAATATTCTATTAAGTTATGTTAATTTCATGTTCTGCCAAAAGCCAAGTTCATTAGTTAGATATTTTAGACTTTACTGAATCATTCTTATTAAGGTTTAAGTTTTCCGTCAAAAAAGAGTTCAGGCACTTTTCTAACCATGGGTGACGTTGCAACGGGCAAAAAAATTGTTTTTAATTAACCTATGTGAAGTCCGGATTAGACTGCAGAATTTCCAGGAGATTTATTATTTACCTGGATTATGAGACATCTGCTGAATTGGATTATAAAACAGGACGAGAAACTCGCTGAGTAGATATTCTGGATCAGTTAAAAATTAACTTTGCGCCGAAGCCTGCTGCAGGTCCATGTTTGGTCCAGTGTTTGAAGGCAGATGAACACTTACCGTACATCTTTCCTTCTTCAGAAAGAATAATCTTTCTACGACCACATGGAGGGTAGATGGCTAGCGCCTCTTGAAACGCCTGCTCGATGTCTGGTGACCAAACACCCTCGGCGTCGGTCGACGCGGTAGACACCGCCAACGAATCGCCGGTACCGATGGATACGGACCCAGGTGTGACGTCACTACGATGGCCGTTGACGGACACCATGGTGACGGGTGACCTTTCGGACCGACGATATGCATCGCCGGAAACCATGGCCACCTTTGGGTCAGACACCGGCGACGTATCCAACTCCTCGTCATTTGACAGTCGTTCGTCTTTAATGTCCGTTGATGGAAGGCACTGTTGGTGGTGCTGTTTGTCGACGGAGGCAACTGCGACCGCGGCTGTGCTGCTGCTGATCATCATGCTGAAA